GGATACCAAGGGCCCACTGTATATTCATAGAGATTCTCCACTTGAACCAGGAGCCCTATGTGATCTGATGGAAAGATTCCTAATTATTTAGAGTGTAGTCCTATACAGTGGGCCCTCAGTAGCCCCTGGGGTTTGGTTCCAGGACCCCTCATGGGTACCAAAATCTATGGATGCTAAAGTCCCATTATGTACAATGTCATAGTAAAATGTTGTTCCTAATATAAAACAGGGAATTCAGGGTCTGCTCTTTGGATTTTAGTAGTAGTGGTGGTAGTAGTAGTAGTAGTAGTAGTAGCTGTATCGGTGAACCATGGTGGAATCCATGGAGGCAAAATCCATGAATACAGAGGGCCAACTGTATACAGAGAGTCACTAAGCCCAAGGGGGGTTGCAGACTGCCAGAAATAGTGCAAATTGAGTCCACTTTTAGGGTTAGGGTTAGTGCTAGGGAATCATGGGCATTGGTTTTTTTTCTGAGACATTGAGCCTTCTCTGTCAGAGAACTCTGGTGCCACAATAAACTACAGTTCCCATGATTCCCTAACCCTAACCCTAAAAGTGGACTCAATTTGCACTATTTCTGGCAGTCTGCAACCCCCCCAACATAGCAGGGAAGATGATGCGCCCACTGCCCCTTCTACACATTTGAGCATACTTGTGCAGGGGATTCACTTCAAAATCCCAATCGTTGATAGTGAAACTCTTTGACGGGGGACCCTTTCACACTGTACAATTACAGCATCTTGATACCACTCAGTACTGCCATGGGAATCCTGGGTTTTGTAGTGTAGTGGTTTGACTGCTGGACTATGACTCTGGAGTCCAGGATTTGAATCCCTGCTTGGCTATGGAAACCTGCTGGGTGACCTTGGGCAAGTCACATTTTCTCAGCCTCCGAGGAAGGCAAAAACAAACCATCTTGGAACAAATCTTTCCAAGAAAACCTCATGATAGGTTCACCTTAGGATCTCTATAATTTAGAAACAACTTAAAGGCTTACAACAATAACAACAAGGCACTTGAGCTGTCTGCCAGAGAATTCCAAATACCTCACAGATCTACAAATTTCAGGGCTCCATGGCAAGGCGCTTTGGCAGTCGAAATGGTATCCAGGTGCTCTCATTGTGTAGTATGAAAGGGACCTGGGTTCCCATGTGGCACGGTCGGACGTACCAAGCTTCTGCTTTAAGAAAAAGCACAGCAAGCTATGCAATAAGTTTTAAAATATTTCAAAACTAGGCCAACCCAGTCCCCCTGGCCTGGAGGGAAAATCCCTTCAGACCTCCAAAAATCACTGGTAATGATAGTATGAACTGGGCTGCAAGGAAGCCCTGATGTCGGCCTGTCAAATGGCTTGTTTTCACTTAATTCCTTTCCCGGGTATGTTAAACGTTTAACAGCTCGGCTTAAAGGGAGCGTGAAAGGGGTAAATGAAAGGGAGAACTGCTGGAGGTGTGATTCCCCACACATACGTACATTCATCTTACATCGGGGTTGCTTTCCAGGTTTTGCTTCAAGTGCATTCCCCCCCCATCTCTCTTTTGTGTTAAAAAAACCTGCCAGGGATTGAGCTCATTTTTTACAGCGGTGGCAGGTAATGACATCCAGGTCTCCATGGCAACCCAGGTGAGTGCCAGGTTAGTCATTCTTGTGAGGGTCACTCTGATTGACAGATGTCACTGGGCCTGTTTAGCATCCTAACTGACTCAACTTGTCTCTCGTCACCGTGCCAAACCTGGACCTGCCAAACCAGATACTGGCACAGCGTCTGTCTGTTGCGAGGGACACCCTGGTGCTCCTGCCAGTCTTTAATTCAAGTCCGTAAAGGCCTACAAATATGAAGTGGGTAGAAGAACATTGTTGTTGTTGTCGTGTGCCTTCAAGTTGTTCCCCTCTTATGGCACCCTTAAGGTGACCCTATCATAGGGTTTTCCTGGCATGTTTCTTCAGAGGGGCTTTGCCATTGCCATCCTCTGAGGCTCAGAGAGTGTGACATGCCCAAAGTCATCCAGTGCGCTTATATGGCTCAACTGGGATTTGAACCCTGATCTACAGAGTCGTAGTCCAATGCTCAAACCAGTATGCCATGCTGGTTCTTAGTGTAGTTCAGAACATTAGAAAGCCTTTTATTGTGTCCCCTCCCTTCCTTCTGCTTATTGGATCTTGATGATGATGATGATGATGATGATAGTAATAATAATAATAATAATAATAATAATAATAATAATAATAATAATGATTATGTATTTCTATCCTGCCCCTCTACCAAAGCAAAATTAGGGCGGCTTACATCAATAAAATACCACAATATACCCTCCCAGACCCACCCTCCCCTTAAAATAATATTAAACATGATAAGAATTAAAATAATTAAAACAAAACAATTAAACAAAGTTGACAATTTACAATAATAATAGACAATAAGACAATAAAAATGCAGTCTGATTGACAAGAGGGACAAGAAGTCTTAATTTTAAATCCATGATATGTTGGGATTACATTGCAGATTTGTGACTGGCCATAGCTCATTAGAATGGTTAATGGTAATAGTTCACTTCACGTATCCTCCCACTGTCCTGATTTGGCAGGAAATTAATCCACTGCCATCCCATTTTTTCCACCTGCTTTAAAAATGTCCCAGTTTCTTTTTCCTCTTCCCCCTTTGTCTTCAGCTTACTTCATTTGCTGCAAACTGGGTTCAAAGTACAAAAGTAGTTCGCACTCAGTTGTCTCAACACAGGAGAGAAGAGAGCAAGGAGCAGACTCTTGATAATCCTCATAAGTTCAGGCAAAAGCAGACTGCTGTGGCCTCTCATCCTAGTTTGCCTTGTCTTCCTCATTGATAACATTTGGCATCTTGACCATGTTGTGATGTTGCTAGGCTAGATAGATCGCATGGGTTTTCATCTGTGAAATATTGGAAGTTATGATTTGATGTTCACTGCACACAAACATTGCTTCCACACTGCAGAATTAATGCAGTTTGACACTGCTTTAACTGTTATTCCCTCCTATAGAATCCTAGGATTTGTGGTTTGCTATGGTACCAGAACTCTCTGACAGAGAAGGCTAAATATCTAACCAAACTACAGATCCTAGAATTCAATAGCATTGAGCCATGGCAGTTAAAACTGTGTCAAACTGCATCAACTGCAGTGTAGATGCACCCCAGAAGTATCAGGTTGAGTCCCCAGTGTGGCTAGGAAACTTCCTATTTGAAAGCTTGGCAATCTGAGCTAGATGGATCAGTACTTAGTAAAAGACAGACTTAGGGGCTATGCAGACGAGCAGGAAAAGGTGACCTGAAGTTGCCTTTTCCCTAAGCTGCAGCAACCGCACTGCCTGCCCTGAAGTTGCCCTAAATACGGATGGAGCAATCGCACTGGGGGGAGTCAATGCAGCTTTTTCAAGGCTGCATTGAAGCCCCAGCACTCGCACCGCCAGCCCCAAGGATGCTGCAAAGGGAGATGGAGCAACCGCATGGGCCAGCAGCGGCTGCTTTAATTTTTTTTGTTCTCTCTCAAACGCATGCACACATGTGCAGGAACACATCTCGGGGGGAAGCAGACGACTGCTTCCGGGACGCCGCCGGACGGAGCGCCGGCGGAGCGGTGCCTCCGCACCACGGCGCTCCTGCGGCGTCCCTAAAAGGAGCTCCAAATTGGCGCTCCTTTTAGATGTCAGGGAAAGTGTGCCCTAAAAGCGGCGGGCGCACTTTCCCTGACTCTTCCGCTGCAGCGCATGCAATCGCTGCGGCATGAGGTCATCCCCGGAGCGCCAGCCGTGCGGAGGGCTGGCGACTCCGAGGGCGACCTCAGAAAGAGGAAAAAGCGCCACGCGTGCGGCTGCTCCTCCTCTTCCTTGCCTCGGAGACGGTTCAATAAGCCGTCTGCCGAGGCCCCTCCACACCTGCGCATCTGTGCAGGAAAACATCCCTGTGCACCTGCAGAGGACCTGTCATAGGGTAGTATAGAGTCTGTCATTCTGTACACAAAGGTGACTGAAGTTCGGCATCCCTGTGCACCTACACAGGATCTGTCATACATCCATATTTCATGCAAGGATTCATTGACCTCCACTTCTCCCCAAGGAGTGGGTGCAGTAGACAGGTGCCACTGTCTGATTATGCTGGCCTTGGGGTGAAGGAATGGGTTTGTCAACTGAAAAGACACTCCATCATCCTCCACAAAACATGTTCCACACAGATCAGGGGGGAGGGGAGAGGTACATGCAAGGGAAGTTTGTGTGGACAGACTTGATACATGCAGCTGGTGGTCATGCAAGGGACAAGGTCAACAGGACACACAGACAAACGTTACTCCAGGAGCCCCCCCCCCAATCATGCCAGGAAGTGGTGTGCAGGTCTTATGCACACCTGCGCAGAAGAGGTCACAAAAGCCTCTTTCATGCAAACTGCTGTGCATGCTGACAGCAAGCGTACATGCGACAGAATGCATTTATTGTTATAACAGAGGACAGTTGCTAGGGCGCATGCATCGGGTTACAATTAGGATTAAGGTTAGGGTTCTAATATTCAAGTGCACCTGCGCCAGTGCATCTACACTTGGAAGCATAGGATGCTTTAAATTAAAACTTACATCATAGGGCACATGCTCTGGATCGCTGAGTCAATTTCTGCCACAAATGTGACAATGCATTTATATGGCCATTTTCTGGTGCATCAGTGGTCGTTTTCTGGTGCACACATGCATCTTCACCAAATGAGCGGGAAAAAGTGGCTCCTTTTTGGAGTGGCTTTTCTCAGCATACAACAGCTAGAGCAGGGACCGGCAACCTATGGCCCGGGGGCCGGTTAAGGCCCCGGACTTACCGGCCCCGTCCAAAGGCTGCCGCCGCGCACCACTGCCGCGCGCTGCTATCGGGGCGCGTTTTCGGCCACGCTTGTCGCGGCCGCCATTTTGGAAGTCAAAATGGCGGCCGCGACACGTTTGCACATGCGCAATACTCTTGCGCATGCGCAAACATGTTGCGGCCGCCATTTTGACTTCCAAAATGGCGGCCGTGCATGCGCCGTAGCAGCTGCGTCCGTGCGCGCTACGGCGGCGGCCACGGTAGTAGCCACGGCGGCAGCGTGCGCGCAGGAGTCACGCGCGGAGGAGGAGGGTGCGCGCGCGTGCGCGAGCGCTCCTCCATTTCCCCTCCCCCTTGGCCCAGCCAAGCGGCAACCTTTTTGAGACCAGCCCAGGTCTCAAAAAGGTTGCCTGTCCCTGCGCTAGAGGGTGCTTTCCTGGAGACTTTTAGGCATGCGTCGTCTAAAGGCCACATCTACAAGTCACCCTCAAAGCACCCCTTTTTGACCATCTGCATAGTCCCTTAGTATAAGGAAATTTCACCCAGTGCTGTTCATACTGAAGTTCTCCCACACTCTAGAGCCAGCTACTATCCTTTCTAAATGCATCTATCCATCAAACCAACATTTTGGCATCAATGGAGAGTAATACATCATCCCCATGAATCTCAAGAAGTAGACCAGGTCTAGGAAAGCTCATGCTACAAATTCTTTCACACAGTTAATCTCAAAGTGGTACAAGATCCCTTTGCATACTAATACATCATCTTGTGGTGGAACCTCAGGGATCCTTCCAGTAAAGGAGGAAGAAAATATCCCTCGAATTATACAGGTTACAAAATTATTGAAATCCAGATTGGAAGGGATTTCGTGCATGCTGAGCATTGTTTGTCCTGCAAATGTATAAGATGTTCTCTGCTGCGTTTTCCTTCCACAGGCCATGTAACAGATTCCGAGAGCAGGGCAACAAAAGTCTGTTTGTGCGGCATGAATAGGCCCCAAAAAGAACGGCTGACAAACAATTATTGAAAGGCCTAA